TCCTTCTTAGTGTTGTCAACTCGGTTGAATCTTCGTAATCGATCACGGTTGCGACCCAGCTTAACGATGAATCGATTTACAACTCGGTTACTCGCGGGTGTTGAATGCTGCAGTGTTGCAGTGACGTCGTGTGGCATGTACGTCTGCCTGCATGCTAGCGTTGTGTGCCATGTTATGCTGCTTTGTTTCAGCCCTGTTTTCACTTCGTTTGTTTCTATGCACTGTTTACTAACTGTCGTGTATAATACATCGTATGTTTAATAAAGGATAACTTGCTATAGTAGCCGCATGACTCATCTCTGTATCTTTCAAGTTATCATTGTCTCAAGTTTAAAACAAACAAATTTTTTTTGCTTTTTGATGAAATCGATTATGGCATTTTGATAACCAATGCGGCTTGGTTCGAGCACGGTTCAACACGATGCATCGAGTATAATCGATGATCCGTGACGATCACTCATACCTTGCTAACTTTGTTTTTGCATCCTAAATGTATCATTTCATCAAAAGAGGGCTCGTCCGGGATTTGAACCCGGGACCTCTCGCACCCAAAGCGAGAATCATGCCCCTAGACCAACGAGCCAATTCACATTCCTTTGTAATCCAAATACAGATGGTACAGTTGAAATTATTAATATTCGATCACATACACAACAGCTGTTTCACCAATCAGCACATGCCTGGGGCAGACTTTCTTCAATCTAACACACTGAATGATGCACACGTGATGTGAATGTGAATGTGAAATCTGTGTTATAAATTTCCATCAAATTGGTTTTATATATATCTAGGTGTATTACATGCTATATACTAACCACTGCCTGGGACCGAAATGTTTGCATTGCTCTGAACAATTCTCGAGTACAGATGTCTTTCATATCCCTAGCTCTGTCCATATTCGTTTCTTTCTCTGTCTCTTCCTCTTCCTATAACCAGCATTACATTTTTAATACCATAAACTCATTACTATAATACCTTTCTGAACGCCTAATAAAATTAGTTCCTGCAGTTTAACCTAAAGTTATTGGTCAATAAAATATTAAACACCCTGATTAGAGACCCCTTTCTGTGCCTGCATGAATGTGTTGATGTGTGTATGTGTGCGTGTGTGCATGCGTGAGTGCATGTTTGTGTGTGTGTGTATGTTATAGTGCATGTGTGTATGTGTGAGTGCATGTGTGTATGTGTGAGTGCATGTGTGTATGTGCAATGTGTTCCCTTTCCAAGTTTTCTATTACATGTTATTAGTTCTCATGTACATCTACCGTGTAAGATTTAATTACCTCAAGATCCTTGATGGCTGTAAGAAGGTCTAATTGCACCATAGCCATATTTTCATTTGTCTCAGACATTGCTTGAATTAGGTCCCTATCATCACTCTGCAATACAAATAGACTAGAGATGCACCTTTTGGCATCAAAACTTGAAGGTAATAGGTTGTACAGCAAATCTCAGACATTTAAGAATGGTTCAACAGATCTAGTGAGAAACGTTTTATTATAAGTACTTTTCACTGATCTGTACAAGGTAGCTGTAAATTAATCTTTCGATACACTATGAGTGCTAAATTCTGTGGCACTTGGTTGGTCTTGTAATAAATATAGCTCATGCCCAGAAATAAGCTTATGCTTTTTCCTTTAAAACGCAATTGTTATATATGTAGCATTGGCATTGCCAGTACCTGGCCTATTTCTTCATCATCCATAGTAAGTACATTGAGGACCTGTAGACGTCTCTTTCTCTCATCCTCCAGCTCCACTTTCTGGTTCGCCTCGTGAAACTTGTATAGCAATGTACTCAGTACTTTCTCTTTGTTGTCTTCAGAGTTCTTTGTAGCTGTCTGTATTTTTTGTTCGCTGATATCCTGAAAACACAGCATAGGACAGGACAGGATATATGTGGTGGAATAACGTCGTTTTTGATAACCCTTGTGTGAATGATATTATAATAAATATCCATATTACCTACATCTACACATTTCAAAATTAAATTACTGTCAGCCGTCTGTTGTGTTTACGAAACTGATCATCCACGTCAATTTTGAGAGTTGCACAGTGAGACCTGCCTCATTAGTTGAAATACAGTTCTGAAATTCATGGTTAAGTGTGGAGTACAGTTTGCATGCAGCCTGCAGCTCTTCTGATTCCACTGATGATCTCCGGCTTTGCTCTTTGCTCACTTCTCTAGTAAAGAAAAAATTATGAATATTTTGCACAGGAAACACATAATGATCACAATCTAGAGAGATGTCGTTCAATACAATTTTCCATTACTGGCCGAGAAATCTCACTTTATCATTGTTACTACTTCTAAATATGTAGAAAAATAAATATACAACCATAGGGGATGTTCACAAAGGTCTTTCCATATTTTCATCAAAATCCCAAGATACAAGTGATTAAAAGGCCATTTTATTCACATTGAACTAAAGATGTGCAAAATTTCAATGTATAAATCAAGCAGATTGTTGTGTTGCATCATACACAGCATGTTTATACCCACTTTGCAATTGCCATCTTGGTAAGATGTGGAGTTGCTCTATGCAACCTGTCTGTAGATATAGTATTATAGTTCTTGCCATCGTAGTAACGACCAGGTTTCTCTGCTTTGTTACTGTGTGTACGACAATTCAACTGGAAGTTAATGGAAACGGGGTTAATAATATTTATTATTATTGATTTGATAATAATAATATAAGTTATAACATTAACTAAACTCTCACAATTGACCAAATGCACAATTGATATCAGTCAGTACTACCTGGAAATGCCCTGGATGCCTTTTAATTCCACATTTGAACTTGCGACGTGCAGTAGCTTGCTTAATGTTGTCAGAAAATGAAGTGAAATACTTTTTGTCTTCAACTTCAGGTTCAACGTCGGAGTCTATTTCGCTCACCTTATAGATGACATCCACAAAATATGTTAGTACTATAGTATTACAATGTCAAAGTGACATTAGTAAAATCAGGAGTAAAATGTACTCTTTCTCATCGCAATCTGCCAAATTCACACTGAGATGATTGAGATGATTTTCAAACAGATCACAGTATAACATTGAGCAATTTTAATCTTGATCTTCATCTCTCAAATGTGAGACCAGATAAGAGGCAAAGGTGGAGTAGTTAGAACTATAGACACGGTAAAGGAGGAAGAGGATCAGGGAAATTAGAGGGCGGTGTGGAGACAGGGGGAGTGGGGCTAAATAGATGACGTGATGTGGTCATATGAGAAGTAAGGGTTAGGTGATAAGGATGTGGAAACAGAAAAAAACATTAGGGGAAAAGTTGATGAGATATTAGGTTGCAGGGCACAGTGATCCAGCCAATCAAAGAACATACACTGAGCTGGCTATGCTCATGTTTGATAGATGTTTGCATATACCCTCCTCGTCCTCCTTTCCTTCCTCCTCCTTCTATTCCACCTTTCTCTTTCCTCTACACAACTACAATATCCGTCTTTCCAGATGCGGGCTCATGCCTCCGTTCACCTCTCTCTGTCCATCCCTCTTTTTTTCCCTGCATCCCCATCTTATCTGCAATAATGTCTTTTTGCATGCTAAGCATCTTTGCTTTGACCTTTTTTTCTCATTCGTTACGTTTTCATCTCCTCCAACCCTCATTCTACAACTACCCTATACACATCCATATCGCAATGATCAGTCTTCAAAGTCCAGGTGACCATATCGAAGCCGGAGAGAGACTTAGTAGAACAATGTAACCGAACAAAGTAGTTTCCATTTTGTTCTACTCTGTCGGGTTTACATCAGAGGTCGCGGTCAGTCGGATCTACATTATTAGAGTATCTTACTCTTAGCTCTAGAACTATTATAGTTCTTCGCTCTGCCACAGCCACACGCACTGTGGCAGATGCAGAGCGAAGGGCTATTACTGAATACTGTATAGAAGTGTACCGTACTGAACAATTGTCATATATATATGCCATCCTCAGCCATGGCATGCGTGCATGGACTCATGGAGATACGATCTAACATCACAACCTCATAATAACTATAATAACAACTAGTCTTCAAAGTCTAAGGGACTGTATCGAACACGGAGGGTGGAAATGTCAAGTCAATGTTGATCAAGTACTGAAGACTGAAGTAGACATCAAGTTATATCAATATCACATTGTGATTGTCGATCAAGATGAAGTCAATAAATGCTTTTAAATTCCAATGATCATCTACTTCTAAACAGAGAAATCTTGCCTCAGACGTGTTAATAGCATCTGACATTATAATCCGTTGGGATGTATCACTGGCCATATATATCTAGGCTGTATAAGGTGATTACGGTAAGCTGGTTAACGTCTACAAACATTCAACACTTCAAAAGCGCGCGTGTAGCTTGCCCAGCTTGCCTGCCAATGTAAATAAACATTCAATGACGCGCTGACGTTTTACCGCACGCGGAGCAATTATAAATGCGCAAACAATTTACTTTCGTGATATATAACTTAGAATTTTAACTTTAAGTATAAATTTCAATAAAACAAGTATTAGTTGGTTACGGCATGATTTTATATGAGCGACGGAATGTATTTATAGTCTGAAAAAGATCGGCACTATATTTTGTACAGCAACGATTGAGGAATGATGGTTACCATAACAACAGGAAGCGCCCGTTCTGAATAGTAGGTTCCCTGGCTTTATATTTTGATTACAAATCTAATGAAATCGGTGCTGACTCTTTGCCTTTCCGTTCCTATATGAAGGTCTAGAATATATTTTAAGCTGTTAACTAGTCAATTATCTAATTACTAAGCAGTTACCTTTTTCGTAATACAGTCTCACTATTATACAGTCGGAGTCCCCCAGGAATTGTGCAACTTAGTGGCGCTCAAGGGGTACGTCGTTGTCGTATGACGTCGTATAAAATGACAAATGATTGCTTTATTTTCCTTTTAGTTTTAGGAGTGACGACCTTGCAGTATCAGATTTCTTTGGAACGTGGGCTAGGTTATGGTTTCTTGTTAGCTGATTGCCTTTGAACAACCATGGAGGGACACTTGGCAGAGCCTGGTGAAAGTCCATCTGCACATCTGTCTGCATCCACTCTTCAAGAGCCAGTATGTTTCACTTTAAAAAGTCCTTCCAGTATAGAATTGTGGAAAATGATGCCACTGAATTTATAGAACGTAACATTTTTTTAGCTTATTTTGAGTATATTGAATGGATTATTATATTATATGGTCTAAAAACTAAGGTTGAAGTAGAGGTGATCAGTGTATCTCCGTGTTTGTATCATATCTCTATCACTTCCTCATTACTGACAGCAGTCATAAATGCAAATTTAGGTACAGTGGTCCTAGAATAATTATGTTAGAGAATATTAAAATACTCGTCTGGAAAACCTGTGACTATATAATGTGAAACACATATATATATATATATATATATATATATTCAACCCAACAAAGATAGTATGGCATTCATAAAAATACAGGGCGATAATATACGTTGTATATATGTGGATTGCGAAAATTCCAAAAGGCTAACTACCGCTCGTCCGGTCTATGTCTCCCTGACCTCTGTTTGACCTGGCTCGTTTAGCTATTTCTGACTAACCCTAACCCTAACCCTATATATATATTATATATTATATATATATATATATATATATATTAGTCAGAAATAGCTAAACGAGCCAGGTCAAACAGAGGTCAAGGGGACATAGACCTTATCTGCCTAACTACCTCTATAGAAATGCAACCTTTCCATAAAGGCTATACTTTGGGCATTTCCTTTGAGTGGCCATTATATATGTAGGTTTGTCTGTGTATGTTTCTCATTGTAGAGTGGATGAGACATAGACTTGGTGCTGCATTGTTAGTGTGGTAGATCTGAATGATTTATGTCGTTTATACAGGATGGGAGCTCTAAGACAGGTTTGATAAGGGGAGTTAGTGGTAATGTTAACTCCATTCAGACAAACCCTCTGGCTCGCAACAGGAGACGCAGCATCATGATAAATATGCAAAGCCAAGCTGAGAGCAATAAGGAGAAGCAGGTTTGCGTCTAGCCTATTGACTGTCCATGTTTAATCTTGACAAGTAAAAATACATCTGTGGATGATGTCATGCATTCAGCTGCCTAGTTAGACCTGGCTCACGTATTTGTAGCATATTTTCTGTATACAGCTGTGAATGTGGTTCATATTAATGGAACAAAGTCTGTGTATTAATCATTTTTTAGGCAAGAGCAAAAGAAGCTCGGGAAGCTCGCAAACCAAGGTTAGGACCATGCCATAAATACCTGATGGACATGGTCGCTGAGAAACTTGGCCTGGATGCCACGGCTGTCGAGGAGTTTGTCCTAGACAGTGGCGAGGTATGGTGATCTTGAAATTATATAGTTGGGTCAAAAACTCCTACAATTACATATCAAATATATGACCAGTTCACATTTGGTAATACAGTTTTATTGTGTACACAGATATCTATGGTTAAATTGGCAAGGACATTATTTAATAATTAATGTAGTTACTTTATTGTTATTTTCGTCTTGCAGCACCTTTGCATCCTTGATGCATTTCTTGTGAAGGATGGTTCTCGAACTGTAATGTTCTTCTATCAGGAGTCTGAGCCTTTAGGCTGGGGTAAGTGGGCATTGATCATTAAATTGTTTTGCAGTATACATGTAGAATGGAAAAAACTAACATTCTGGACTCGATCAGTTGTTTTGCAGTATGAATGTAGATTGGAAAAAATAACGTTCCAGTTGTCTAAATATATTTTTATTGTTTCAAGTTAAGTTTTAGAGGTTTTTATAATCACTTGCTATAAATTGACCTTTGTTCAGTTAATTCTTGGCCCAATTTTCTCTATGGGGAAAACACTAAATACCCATCAGTGTATCATCAAAATAGGATAGTATGAATGTTTAACAATAACAAATATCTGGCTAACATTTAAGAATGTGGCAGAATCTACCCAGGAGCACAGAAAGGCAAGATGCTACGGCTATGCGTCACAAATGGCACAGATATGGGTCTCGCTGGGCAGTGTGTGTTCTTTCTGCGTGTCAAATCAGAGATAGCACTGACTCCTAGAAATATACATGAGGTGAGGTGCTTCTGCATTTCGCTTGTACTCTGTAAGCATGCATACTTTTCTATATCTTCAGCAGTAATCCTATGCCGTACAATGAATATTTATATAGAATAGAAGAAATTATAGAATAGATTATAAGAATATTGATTATTTATAATACAGTCTTTTTTTACTGATTTTTATTTTAGCCAACAATAATTAATAAACTTTATCAAGTAAAAACGTTGTATTATCATAATATTTAACGAAATAATATTCGATAGGATGTTGGAGTGATGTGGTCACTTGTGTGCTTTGTTTGTAGGAAGCCATATGTGGCTCGCTCAATGTTGACCCTACTGATCCTGCTGGTGTATTAGCTGCTGTTCATGAGCTGCTTGCTCATGTCTACCAGCCAGCGATTCACTCAGTAAGTGACTGGGGCGCGCTCAATGAGACGCCACAGGGTCGTAAGACGTGCAGAAGTTTTCTGGACTCATACGATAACTTTCTGCTGTTTCTTGAAGGTATGTATTTGGTGGAGTCGTTATATCCAGCCATCTTCATGTGTGTGCTTTCATATGCCCAAGTACAGAGCTACTATTTTTGAGATTAAAAATATACTGACTCAGGTTAGCATGCACCAACAAACTGCACTCAAGCACAACATTTTTATTTGTAGTAGTCGCCCAATCTGTGCGTGTAATTTTGTGTGTATGTATAATGGATACTTGAAAAACTTTCTATTCTAAAACACTAGTTAGTATTATTCTAACAGTTTCTTTTTTTGTTAATTTGTCCTGACAAGCCAATGTCGTATTCCCTCGTTCACTTCTTCAGTGCCACTCAAAACAGTCGAAATCTCTGCCATTAACTGATTCCGATACCATCGTACCCCCAATACCTTCCAATCCTTCCTCACCCTGTACAGGCGCACAGGCTAGTGTAACTGGAGCGTTAAAGCTAAAGGATTGTGAAGCATTTGACTTAAAAGAGCTGAAGTCAATGGCAGATTGCCTGCAGGCAGCTAACCAACCTGAAACTCTCACCATTCTGGAGGAACTGGTATCGGCATGGTGTAAACAAATCGAGCAGGTAATCATGGCTTTGTGTCTACTTTGAAAGGTCATTCATGGTTGTAAGTGATGCTGTATCAGTCATGTGGTATTGCATGTCTTGTAGTCTTTGACGCCCTACGTGTATGGTCGTACAGATATCAAATGGTAACATCATGTAATACCTTTATGAACTGATACGTGTATACTGGATCAGGTGCATGCACAGATACAATTCGACTTGAAAGAAACAGGCTAATGCATACGCCCTTACTCAGACATACCCGAGTGTAACATGCCGTAATCTTATTTAAATCTGGTGCAGGTCTTAGCAGAAAGTGAGCAGATGAGAAAAGAGGCAGATGACACGGGCCCACTTGCAGAATTGGAACACTGGCGGCAGTTAATGGCTAGGTTTAACTCGATCGTCGAGCAGATCAAGAGCCATAACTGCAGGATGGCCATCTGTGTACTGAATGCTGCAAAATCCAGAGTTCTGAAGGTTCGGGTGACAATCCGTCTGTACCGTGAAAGAAAATGATTAATTGTCGATCGTATCTGCGTTACCTTACATAACTTTTTATTTAGTGGAAATATTAGCCGTTAACAGCAGCGAAGATCAAAATTATTTTCATTGAGCAGCATGCTGTCTGTGTACATCATTACAGGTGTGGAAGGAGCTTGACAACCGGATAACAGATGCTGCTAACGAAGCCAAGGACAATGTGAAGTACCTGTACACGTTAGAGAAGCCCTGCGAACCGTTGTACCACTCTGACCCCGTCAGCATGGCCGACTGCATTCCCAGTCTGATAGATGTCATACGCATGATCAACAGCATCTCGCGTTACTACAACACGTCCGAGAGAATGACGTCATTATTCATAAAAGTAATGATGTGTGGTGATTTATTATACAATATCGATAAGTATCGATATGTATCAATATATCGATATGTGGAATTCGTGTCAGATTAGGTGTGTCAATTTAAAAATACAATGAATTCGGTTTTGATTGTCGTATTCAACATGCATTTAGGCAGTTGTTGTTCCTGAATTTTGCAAAGCCGTCGTAAACAATTCATCTTTCCATCTATTTATATGTTTTCAATACATTGTTTTATTATAGGTGACCAATCAGATGGTTACTGCCTGTCGTAACTACATCACAGATAATGGCATAAACAGAATCTGGGATCAGCAGAGGGCGCCACTCATAACCAAGCTCAGAAACTGCATTAAACTTTGCCGGGATTACCAAGGTATGTGTGTTGCACAAAGATATATGTACGTGTAAATAGCGTAGGCACGTGTTACTGAGAAATGCAGATGTTTGTTAAAGGCTTTTAGGGATTCACAGTGCTAAATACCTTACATTTCAGGTTGTTTCCAAAGGATCAAGAAAAAGATTGAGACCATCCCTGGTGAGAGGCCATTCGACTTCTCGGAAATGTACATATTTGGAAAGTTTGATGCTTTCTGCAAGAGACTGGATAAGGTAGACATAGATATAGTAGACATAGATATAGTAGAAGAACAATTGCTTTTCCTCCAATTATGCAACGTTGAGTTGTTATGGTTTGTTAGCTGTAAGAATTTGCCACTAAATTGTAGTGTGATCTCCCATCGCACCAATTGTCACTTGTGTGTATGTGTGTGTGTATGTGCGTGCATGTGTGCGTGCGTGCGTGTGGGTAATAACGAAACGAATATTATTTCTTTTAGATCATTGAGCTGCTGAACACTATTGAGACCTATTCAGTTCTGATGACCTCCCGAATCGAAGGCATTGAGCCAATGGCAAATAAGTTCCAGCATGTGTACAGCTCCATGAGAAAGAAGCCCTACGACATCCTTGACCACCGCAAGTTGGATTTCGACAATGATTTTGTTGACTTCAAGAAGTACATATTCGAAATCCAGTTGCAGCTTCAAAACTTCCTCGACACTTGCTTCCAGAGGAACCTTTCATCTGTTCAAGCTCTCAAACTTCTACAACGGTATAGTTTATAGTTATAGTTCTACAAAATATTCCTACTCGATGCTATAGGAATTACCACAATTCCTAGTTTCCAGACAAAGTTATCTTCACTTACATAACCAAATTGTAATGATAATTAAAATAATAATTTAGTTATTCTAGTAAAAATATATATATTTATCAGCTATTAGCAGAGGAAAATTCTCATCTAATCTTATCTTCATCTCTATCTGCAATTAAATCTGAATTGTATTTACTATTATTAATTCTTTGCTGATTTATTTTGTTTTTCATTGCTAAATTTATTAACTGTTTGCAATTTCTAGGTTCAAAAAGCTCAACATTCCTTCACTGAACCTGGATGAGAAATGCTTTCTGATATTGATGAATTTCGGTGAAGAATTGGAAAACATTAAGAAGGTGGAGCATCACACGTGTGATTCATGTCGAGTAACGGTTTCTAATATAAAAGAATTAAAGTACAATGTAATTAGTAAGAAACACAACTCTTTATGACAGTTTTATCGATCGTTGTCATTCGAACGATGCCGAAGTGCATTCGATGAAATTTCTAACAATTAAACATGACATTTTCTTTTAGTTGTACCAGAAGAGTAGAGAAGATCCACAGATACCTAGGGATATGCCACCTGTTGCTGGCAAAATCTCCTGGGCACGTCAGCTGTTCCGGAAGATTAAGGAGCCAATGGATATCTTCGTGGTAGGATTTGTTATCAAATATGACTGACTGAAGTGTTATTGTGTAAGAAACTAAATCCTCAATCATTCGTGATTCATGCACATCCTTGGTATTTGTTATTCAAAACCACGATGATGCCGGAAAGCTAACCGTAATGTGCCTTCGTATAATCTACATTTTACAAGCGCGATGTAAACGACTTTGTCGTTATCTGATTATGTTTTTGTATATATATATTATTATATATTATGTATTCGGCTATCACCAGACAACACTGGCGAGGTTATACGGTATTAGAATTCAGATACGCACTTGTTGGTCTCTCACTCTGCTCTCCTGCTGCAGTTGAATGAAGAGATGCTGCGTCTGCCAGACGGGCAGAAGATTGTGAAGCATTATAATCGTGTAGCAAGTGTCTTGATGGAGTACGAGATGCTCTATCACAGAGCCTGGGTGAAACAGATCGATGTCGTAAAAGGAGGTACGTGAATGCTCATCCGAATTAATGCATCATATAGTGCCAAGTGTACATCTAACATGGTAGATCTTAAGCCGTAGGTCGCAGTGCAAACCTGTGTCTGTAATTCATTTTAAATGTCACTGAAAGTATTCTATGACTGTCTGAATTTCGGTTTATAGTACAACAGTAACTGCCATATATTCAGCCCAGCACTATTTCAATTACAAATATTCGAATAACTACTATGTACACGATTAAGAAACATCTTAATTTAGTTGAGTGTCAAATTCCACTTTTGCTGGATTATTCAATATGAGAGAGCAATGCAAATTTTGTTATTACTTGCTTGACATATGTTTAATTTTGTGTGTGGCAGCCCTTCAAGCACCACTGCTCGTCAGGCATCCAGAAAGTGGTGTACTCATCGTCAACTTTGACCCCATGCTGCATCAAGTCGTACGCGAGGCTGAGTGCATACGCAAGCTTGGCCTGCCTGTACCCGAATTGGCCAAGATGCTAAGCCACACACAAGCACAGCTAAAGTCAAATCACAACAAAATGAAGGTGAGATTTTTTACCTCTGTAACATCAATATCCAGACGTGTTTTCTTAGTTACTGTCATTGCTTTTAATGGGCACGATAAGAAAATTCATTCCAAAAAAATCCTTAGAAAAGTAATGACAGAAATTGGAATTTTGAACCCATTATGTAAGCTATTGTAAACGCACTCGTATATATGATGAATTGCCTCGCCTTTGAAAATGAATTTTGCCATTGAAATGAAGAATTGCCTCTCTACTAACATCTTTGCAACCTTCCATACATCTTAGGGCCTTCTAGAAGAAAACAACAGAGTGAGAGCTAACATCCCCTCGATCTTCCTACCGCTGATTGCAACGACGATCAAGAAAGTCGATGACGCTCTTAGACCGGGCCTAACTCTGCTCTCATGGACGTCGCTGAATCTCCCTGACTATTTCTCGTCTGTGTCTAAGGCTTTGGACGAGTTGAAGCTACTAATCAAACAGGTGAGATGTGTAGGCAACTGTACAGAGCGGCACCTCGTCTTCATTTGAAGCAGCCGGCTGAAAGGTGCGATAGGATATGTTTACTAGGCACTTCTAATTTTAACATATATTTTAAATTTAATTAGGGTCAGGGTTAGGGTTAGGGTTAGGGCACTTTTTAGTGTTTTTGCATCATTCTTTAATATATCGTAAAATATATGTTAAAATTAGAAGTGCCTAGTAAGCATATCCTATCGCACCTTTCAGCCGGCTGCCATTTGAACGCCAGCAGCTAGAAGCTTCATTGGCAAGGTAAAGATGTATGCGCGTATACTATATTGTGACGAGGGTTGTTTGCATTCAGGTGGATGATATCCGAAGCTACCGCATAGATGGTGTCTTAGAAGAGATGGGTGATATGATGCTGTGTCACCTTCCAGAGGACACTGCCTGGACAGTGAACCAATTCATCACAAACTCAAAGGTATAAAAATGCGTATACACGGTGGAATGTTATGTACGCTCGTGTGCATTATTGGCATATATTTTATTACTTATCTTGATGCCGACTGTCGTTGATCGATGTAGTATAGAACGGCATTATTAGGTAAGGTTAGAACTTTTATAATAGCGGTTAAATCTTGAGAATAATTGGCAGATTTACACACAGATTCTACATTTACATCTGTTATTATCCCACTTTATAGAAACACTGTGATGAGGCAGCAAAAGACCTAAATGCTATGAGCACAAAGGTGGAGGAGGGTGTTTACGATGTCATAAACCTCTTCCTCACTAAAGCAGAAGCCACGTTCAATGCTTCACAAATTGATGAGCCACCGAAGAAAAGTCCAAGTATGCCAGGTAACGAGATTGTTTAAGGTCACGGATGTTATATATACGTAGTAGTCAGTTTTATTTTAATCAGGATAGAAGTTTATTAAAATTATTCTTTTCTGTCGCTACATTCAATACTTTTAATGTATGACTGTGTCTTATACACAAGGTTGTAAGATCAGATCTCTTTTATTTAAATACTGTCACTATAACGTGCCAGAGTGACATAGCCTGTGCATGTAAAAGTTATATGTTTGCACTTGCATTTTTCTCAGTGATGCCACTAATGTTTGATGGTGAAACGTGACATATTTGGTATTGGTGTTCAGAGCCCGGCGACAGCATCATAGAGGAAGAGAGTGACATAACAGAGTCTGAGCTTTCTATCCTCACGGAAGCTAACGAACAAGAGCATCAGCTGAAGCTTGAGTGCAAGGAGCTGTTCAATCACTTCAACCACAAGAATCTAGAGGCGATTGTGCGGGCCACCCGTCTATCCCTCGACGCCATCAAACGCAGGGTCTTTTTTTCGAGGTAAGAATTAAATGGCTATTACTAGTAATATTGTGTGTTACTTGTGTGGAATGTATATGCCCAACGTTTAGCATAATTACATTGTGAGTGTTTATAGTAAGTTTAATTTTCATGAGCACCAATTAACTTCTGTTCCAATTAACGTGCAGGATGTATGAAATTACGATGGTTATTAGTAAATTTTATTTCCCTTTAGCAGTCGTGCATACCTACCTACGTGTGAATTTCATTACAGTCAGATGGGAAGCAGACGAGCAGGTGATGAGACAGGAAACAGAGGCAAGGAAGCTCACCGTAGTCCATTCTTCCGCACCGACATCGTCCTGCTCTTGCCCAACGTCGTGATGCAGCCAAACCTAGATGACATACAGCATGTGATCAACAAGGTGTCACAGTTTGTGCTGGAGGTTGGCCGTGGTGTATCGCAGTGGGGCCAGAGGACTGCAGACATTTCTAGTGAGTCTCTGCGTTATTTTTTCACTTGTGAACAAAGTGCTAAATAGGGGTTATGTAAGGAATACTTGGGTTGGTGAGATAAATGTTTGGTGTTCTGTAGAGTTGATAACTGAGCATCGATAATCGTCAAATGTGATTATGTTGATAATTAGCAAAATTTTCCATCTCATTACCGAGGAAGTATGTGTGACATTATTCTTCACATACTTTAATATAATGCAAGAACTTTTTTGTCTATTGATGGTATAAGAAACTGCAACTACAAAATTGCTACATACGTGTGTGGTTTACTTTTAGTAACCTCTGCTGTGAATGTACAAGCCCCGGCAGCTTCTATAGTTAAGAACTACTACAAGTCTATTGCCGAGCACAAGGATATCAGTAAAATAGTGATGATGCTCAGTTCAGCAGTGAATGCAGTAAGGCAGGACATACACAGCGAGCTGCAGGAGTATAGCCAATACCAGTTCTTGTGGACCGAAGACAGAGACAAGTCTGTCGAGGTGAGTGAAAAAGCGTGACGCGTATTAATCGAATCAATTTGATGAACATTAATTTGATTGTTACTATAGCTTGACTTTTTATCGATCGTTGTGAAATTAAGGCAGAACATTACCGATCAGCTCTGCTGGTATATGTATAAACGGAAATTTGCCACTCTGATGCACCCATACGTGCTTGTATGTTGAAACACAGGAGTTCTTAGCAACTGACCCAATTCTATCAGAGTTTAAAGCAGAGATATTGCGCTATGAAAGGCTTGAACAAGAGCTCGATGATATCCCTGCCTCGAAAAGACTAGGAGCTATTGAACTTTTTGCTGGTGAGTTACTCTGACCTTTGCCAAATTAATCACTGTTTTTGCTAGGTTTTTCATAGTGGCCACGTGTTCGTAGCAAAACGTTATTGCTTCCTGATAACCCCATCAGTGCTCTTTACTATAATGTCTTTGCAATGCACTAGTATTTCATATCCTCTGATGAATGTTAATTGTGTTTGGGGCTTTTGACTTAGATGTTGAGTTGTCCTTACCAAAATCTAAAATTGGATGAATTTACCAGATATTCTGAAAACAGCAAACATTTGTAATGTACCTTATAGTTATAGTCTTACGTACACTATATTATAATTGTTTCTTGTAGCGCCATTGAAAATGGCTCTGTCGGTTGAAGCCAAGGCATGGAAACTGTTATTTGGAAAGCACCTTAATGCAAAGTTCAGACAGAAGATGGATGACATATTTGAGTTTGTCGATGAACAGAGCAAGAGACTTGTGCGGTAAGTGGGCATCAATCGTCCCAGTAATCTGATGTTGTAGATTTTTGCAGATATTTGCAGGAATGATTGCAGAAGATTGTATTTTTAGCTCATCTGACATATAGCATAGTCAGATGCAGCTTGTAGAATCGCACGATCGTCCGTCCGTCCGTGCATGCGTCCGTCCGTCCGTCCGTCCGTCCGTCAACAGTTGGGCACAAATCTTAACTGCTCGACGTACGGTCACTATATTCGGCACATCGGGGGGATCGTCAAAACGAGTTGGGATGTCGAAGCTGGGGGTCAAAGGTCAAAGGTCAAGAGGTGTAAAAGAAGGGGGAACATTCACCTTAACTTAAGGTATAGGGAGGAAATGCAGAATTGCGGCACAAATCTAAACGGCTCGACCTAGGCTCGTGATAGTCGGTGTATAGCATCATGGTAGGAAAAGCCATCACTGTGCTGAAATTGGAGGTCACAGGTTAAAGGTCAATGGGCACAGGGCAGATTTTAGACATTTTCTGAGGACATGGTCTGACGGAGCGATTGAAAAACTTTTTCAGCGGTGACCTAGCATTTTTATGGCTTTATTGAAAGGACCTTGAAATGTCCCTTCTGCTGACATGCGAAGAGTAAGTGTCGGATAACCTTTTGACCCTCAAGAGGAAGGTTAAACATGCATTTGTTTACTGTCTGTTAGAAAGAATTTGACTGCTGGGTTTGCTAGTAGAATCTATACATGCCTGGATGTACGAGGCTACAATGTCACAATGAAATTTCAAAAGCTAAATTTGGTTGAAGAAGGTTTATGCTCCTTAAATCCTATAATTTCTATGGCATTCTGTACTGTCAGTATTTTACATGTAACGTATGCCACTGCCAGTGGCCACTGCCAGTGCATGTGGTAGTGGCTGTGTAGTTTTTGCCTGCGTTAATTAGTTACAGGTTGCAGCTCTCTATTGCAGCCTGTAGGCTTGCGTAGGTAAATGGATGAGTGCTTACCTATTCTGTCTTGCAAATAGTTGTTGCTACTATGTACGATGGGAGCTTCCATCTTTAATCTGAAGACACTTAAACGTACGCGCCATCTCGTGGCAACTTTCATAACGATCCCAACGAACATTCCTTGGAGAAGGTTCCTGATACCATCCCTGTGCATTCCACTGTTTCGGCGTGTATGTGAACACATTTGGGACTAACAGGGTTTACTAGAATCCCACCACTCCACCACGTACAGAGTCACCGCAGTAGACGTTAGATGAGCGCTGTCGCTCCGCGGCACTTGTTGTTGTATAAAATGTTATAACCTTCAAACCAGAAATGACCGGAAAAAGTTACGACATTTCTAACTCATGATAGGTGTAATTACTTGTGATTTTGCTGACGATGGCCCCCAGGAACATTAATGTGATACTATATGGCAGGCAGATGCACGTATGATTCACTTCCCTGTTTCAGGCCAATTCAAGATCTTGAGGATGTACGCAATGCAATGGCAGCACTGGAAGCCATCAGACATGAGCAAATTCACATCGACATGTCATTAGGGCCGATAGAAGAGGCGTACGCAATGCTGCAGAAATTCAACGTCTCCGTCTCAATGGACGAGATGAACCGTGTGGATACACTCAGATACTCTTTCCAAAAACTCCTCTCACAGTCGGTAAGTTTTTCAGCAATATCCAGGAGGCGGTGGGTGGGTGGGGGGGGCGTAATCTTTCCCCGGTAGATAGGTCAATTAACAAGGATAAACGCATCAATTAATGTCATGTTTCATTTCTGTATAGTGATCTGTGCATTGGCGTAAGCTTTTCGATGTGCCTCGCTTCTGAACAAGCCTCGATCTCATTATTTCTTTTAATGTCATCTAGAGTGAAGTGCAAGACACCCTGCTCCGTATCCAGCCCGAGTTCAAAGCAGAACTTCTCACCTCTGTGGAAACCTTTATACATGACGTAGATGACTACACAACGTCATATGACGAGGTATTTGGAGCATTGTTGTCTATCGATCCTCGCACGATTAGCATTTAAATTGGCTTACAATTATTGATTCAATGTTGTACATATTTCTGCATAATATTTGTTAGATGTTGAAGTATTATATTTGCTTATATGTGAGAATAATTATCACTTTACCATATACGATTTCACTGCCTCATATGTGTATCTATTTTTATATGTCTATTTGTATATGTATAGTGCGAGTCATTACTAGCTAGTTATATAAGTTAATAGTTAGTTCTTTTGAAAGACTTGCTTCAGGTTAACATGAAGTCCTTAAGGGAGTAAAGCACATGTGGCTCTCTGCTAAGTGACATCACAGTGTGTTACAGTAACATTCAATCAGTGTGTGCTGTTTACCTTGGGCAGGTTGGGCCGATGTGTGAAGGCATCAGTCCACAGGAAGCCAGCGACAGGCTGAGTGTGTTCCAGAGTAAGTTTGATGAACTGTGGCGCCAGTACGACACGTACAGAGGAGGAGAGCAGTTGTTCGGTCTGCCACAGACAGACTACCCAGCACTCGTGCGCACTAAGAAAGAACTGGGCTTACTGCAGAAGCTCTATGGTCTCTATAACTCTGTAATGGACAGCATCAATGGCTACTTCGAAATTATCTGGACAGAGGTGGATATTGAGAAGATCAACAGTGACCTCCTTGACTTCCAGAACAGGTTAGCATTGATATCAGTACTTGCATGGTATATAAGGGTAATTTGGCAAAAGATACTCCATACAACTTAGTATAGTTTAGATGTATACTTATATATACCCCCACTCGCAACGTCGCCGCATCACCTGACGAAGTGTTGCAGTAGCACACGAAACGTCATGTTCTCCAATTTTCTTGTTGACCACCCATTGCGAGACAAACGGGAATATAGCAAGCAAGTTTCATTTCTGCAATGGATAACGTTTTTAATGAGGGAGAAGGAGAGAGAGAGAGAGATAGAAATATATATAGAGAGAGAGAGAGAGAGAGAGAGAGAGAGAGAGAGAGAGAGATAAATAGATATACTTGAAGTAGTTATCTAGGTTTTTATGCTCAAATCACGTTTAGGTGTCGAAAGCTTCCGAAAGGAATGAAAGATTGGCAAGCCTTCATTGACCTCAAAAACAAGATCGATGACTTTAGCGAGAGCTGTCCCCTGCTAGAGATGATGTCCAACAAAGCGATGAAAGATCGTCATTGGGATCGCATCGCAGCGACAACTGGGCACACGTTTGATCTCGATTCGGAGAATTTCTCCTTGAGAAATATCATGGCAGCACCCTTGCTAAAGCACAAGGAGGATATTGAGGTTGGGGAGTATATTTTTTCATCAGGCCTGTGAAATTGTGTGCTGTTGTGCAAAGTTTGCAAAGTGTACATTCCTTATATAGATATTAGGTCATATTTACTCTTATCAAGTGCAGTACTACTAGCTTAATTGCTCTTATGTAAAATCCATTAGATTTAGGTTAATAATTGTCAGCAGTAATCTCAATCATGGATTAGAAGAAAATAATATGTACATTAGAGGTGATGTGTGAACGGTCAGGGCCGCATCTGTGACTAACGGTCACATACTTGTTCTGCGGTAGGACATCTGTATTTCGGCAGTCAAAGAGAAGGACATTGAGGCAAAGCTGAAGCAGGTCATTGCTGAGTGGAATGCAAACAGCCTGGCATTTGCACAGTTCAAGACGCGCGGTGAATTGCTGCTGAAAGGTGCCGAAACTACAGAGATAGTGGCGTTTATGGAAGACAGTCTGATGATGCTGGGCTCCTTGCTCAGTAACAGGTACTAGCAACAGTAACAGTAACAATGTTATCACAATTTGTTTGTTGCACTTCTGACTGTGGCCAAGAATGAGCAATGTAAATTACCTATACGCGTAGAGTGTATGTGTTAATCTTTGTAATTTTACTTTGTATAGATATAATGCTCCTTTCAAAAAAGACATCCAAACGTGGGTGCAGAAGTTATCCAATACGTCAGACATCATTGAGAACTGGATGGTTGTTCAGAACCTGTGGGTGTACTTGGAAGCTGTCTTTGTTGGTGGTGACATTGCCAAGCAACTTCCGAAGGTTACTGCATCTAAAATCATTATTCACTGCTATTGTTTACAAAAAAATAAGAGAATCCAGAATAATTTGTGTGCAGATCAATAATTATCTTAAAAGTTGGTGGTGTTAAAGTTATCATTAAATAGATAATTGGATTTGATTATTTGCCTGCTATATATGCTATTCAATTTGTTATTAAATATAGTCTGATGAAATGATTCTACGAAAATATTAATGTAGTATGTAGTATATTGTAATAGTAAATTAACAATTAGAAACTTTCAGAAAAGTTTTAGTAAAGTAGAGTAAGTATTAGAGTAACACTCGCTGTTCTCATAACACGTCTTTTGATTACTTTTTTATTAGGAAGCGAAACGGTTCCAGAGCATCGATAAGTCATGGGTGAAGATAATGACGAAAGCTCACGAGACTCCGAACGTTGTGCAGTGTTGTGTCGGAGACGAAACGTTAGGGCAACTACTGCCTCACTTGCTTGAACAGCTAGAGTTCTGTCAGAAGTCACTGACCGGGTAAGTCGTTCTTATAACACAAGCTGTTTCCCCTTGCATCGCAGCAAGCTGTTGACTTGATTGTGGAAAAAAAACGCAGATAGTCTTAATTAATTTTTAAGAATTTAATTTCAGGGTTTGATGGCTTATATTGCTTTTCTTTTAGATATTTGGAGGGAAAGAGACTGATTTTCCCCAGATTCTTCTTCATTTCTGATCCAGCACTTCTTGAGATTCTTGGTCAAGCCAGTGATTCTCATACTATTCAGGTATAGACTGATTTCTATGTCATCAATAACCGTAAAAGTTTATAACCGCCATAGTTTCTCACATCATTAGGAAGCAGCTAAGTTAATGTAAGCAAGGTCGGTTTAAGTAAAGTATTCTCGTTATTGTAGGTACTGACTTTTTCTTCTATTAAAAATTTGTTGTAGCTTGAAGTTATATATTTGCTCATGTCCATAAACCTATCCCTGTATACGTAATATAGTGGGATAACCTAATTCTAGTCTATATATAATAATCAAAACATTTGTGATTAATAAATTTTAAGAAATAATGATACTTGTATCTTGCAACGTGCTATCACGCCAGAAATTCACAGGCATATTTCTTCACTCACAGAACTCTTGAATTCTTGGTGTTTTTTAGGCACATTTGCTCGGCGTATTTGAGAATGTCGCTTTAGTGGAATTCCATGAGAAAGAGTACGACCGAATTCTCTCGGTTGTCTCTAAGGAGGGAGAGACGATTATGGTTTGTGTTCGTATATGTGTAATCAAAATTATGAGATCATCTTTTAGTTCTGACTCTGCAACTTTCTCTGCAATCCCCCTGTAATCCTTCACACTTCAGTATTTGTACGTCGTTGAATAGCCATACGATTAATTCTGCATGCACACTGGCCACATTAGGCCTTATTAGCCAATGTGTGCAGGGTTTTATTGAATCTGCTGTTGTCGTACCCTGGCTATAGCCAAGCTGTTCACCTACAACGCACAATGTGACGTGCTAGCACACGTTCAGCCCTGTAAAACATGAGAACCACCTATTGCGTAAGAAGATGCCAGATCCGCACCTTTAAGATTTCAAGAAGTCAAGAATATCACACTGGCATCACCCGAGTATTTAATAGTAATTATTATAGTCTGTATACCTAAAGTGTGTGCCACTGCTTCAGCTTGATAAGCCAGTACTGGCGAAGGGAAATGTGGAGCTGTGGCTAGGAGAGCTACTCACATGGCAGCAGAAGTCTCTGCACAGTGTCATCCGGGATGCTTACAACGCCATCAATGACTCCAGCTTCAACCTGTTGGGCTTCGTCAACAACTTTCAGGCTCAGGTGGGTACAGAGGAGGTTACTCGTACTTAGAGTAACGATGTTTTGTGCAGCTGGTATGTAGCTTGTGGTCTTTCAATGATATGGGTGTTCCTTGTTTACATAACCGTTGTTACATAACCTTGTTTACAGAACCATCCGAGACAGCTACATTCAGAATTACCTGACAGGAAAACCAATCGTACAGAAAACTAGTCGTTTCTTGCTAACATAATGATTAATCCCAACTATCTTTGCTGAACCATTGGTTGCTAATTCAATTTCTCCAATAAATTGAATATGCCAAATTCCGTGGATCCCCCAGTGGTGATAGCCCATGCAGGCCACCTGTTCCAATGTATCTAATTTAGTAAAGTCATAGTCCTGCTGGATCAATATGGCAAGTTCATTGTGTCCACAATTTGGTGCATCCACGTGCTATACTAGCGCGTGACTACTGTTCCGAATCAAGCGTTGCCCTACCCGGGGATCTCTTCACAGGTCGGGCTGCTATACTAGCGCATGCCTACTGTTCTTAATCAAGCGTTGCCCTACCCGGGGATCTCTTCGCAGGTCGGGCTGCTATACTAGCGCATGCCTACTGTTCTTAATCAAGCGTTGCCACCTACCCGCGGGAATCTCTTTCACATTCAGGCCTGCCTATAGCTCTAGTTTTTCTGTCATGGCCTACTGGTCTGATAAAATGACAGCCGCCTGTTTGCCCTAAACCGGCGAAATGCTCTTCGGCAAAAGGTCGGCAATGGCTATACTAGCGGCAGGGTGGCCACTGCCTACTGTTCTAAATCCAAGGCCGTTGCCCGAGCTAGCTCGGGATCTGCGTTACCAGCGAGGTCGGGCTGGCTATACTAAGGCCGATGCCTGACTGTTCTTACAATCGGCAACGCAGCGGTTGCCTAAACGGCGGCGGGATCGTCTTCACAGGTCGCCGATGCTAAAAAGCTACCCGCATGGCCTGACTGTTCTTGAATAGCAACTGCTTGCCACTATTCCGGGATTCTCTTCACCAGGTCAGGGACTGCTATAGCTAAAGCGGCATGCCAAGCTTGTGTGCTTATATCAAGGCTTGCACTCTAACCCGGCGGATCTTCTTCGCAGGTATGGAGCTGCTATATCTCCACGCATCCATACTTCTTGATGATACAAGCGTTTGCCCGGACAGCTAATCCTAACCCGCGCCATGTATGAAGGCCCTACGGCCGGGATCTGCTTCAAACAGTTCGGGCTGCTATACTAAGCAGCGTGCGCTACCTGTTCTTAATCAAGGGCGTTGCCCTACCCGGGGATCTCTTCAGCAGGTCGATGGCTGCTATACTAGCAGCATGCCTACTGTTCTTAATGCCAGGCGGCGTTGCTGCTAGAAGGTCCCGGGGGATCTCAGTTCACAGTGTCGGTGCTGGCTATACACTCATCGCATGCCTAAACTGTTCTTAAATCAACGCGTTGCCTCTACCCGTGGATCTCTTTGTGCGAGTTCGCGAGCTGCATACTAGCACGTGCCTCTAGCTGTTCTTATGCAGCGCGTTGTCCCTACCGCGGAATCTTCCTTTGGCGGAGGTGCGGGCGTGCGGTGGATGAGGCTCTGAGCCGGTGCCCGTGAGCGTGGGTTACTTTGAATCACTGCGTTGCCGGCTAAGGGCAGCGTCCCCCGCGGGATCTCTTCGCGAGGGTCGCGGGCGTAGGGATCTAGCGCAGTGCGAGCTACTGTTTTCTTATACAAGCTGTTGCCCTACCGCCCGGGATTCCTCTTTCTCAGGTCGGCTGCCTAATTACCTAGCGCATGCCTACTGTTATTAATCAAACGCGTTTGCCGCTTAAACCCGGGAATCTCTTCGCAAGGTCGGCTGGCTAATGACCTCAGACACGATAGCCTACTGTTTCTTTAATTCAAACGCGTTGCGGCTAACAGCCGAAACCATGCGGAGGATTCTCTTCACAGTTACGGCCTGCTGCTATACTAGCGCAATGCCTACTGTTCTTCAATGGCAAAGGCGTTTGCCTGGCTACCCGTGGATTACTCCTTCACAGGTCGGGCTGCTATAGGGCTAGCGCGCATTGCCTACTGTCTTAATCAAGAGGCAATTGCCTCTAGTCGCCCGGCGGATTCTCTTTCGGTCGATCGGTCGGGCTGCTATAACTAGCGCATAGTCCTATTCTGTTCTTAAACAATGCATTGGCCCTAGCCCGGGATTCTCTTACGGCAAGGTCTGGTCTGCTAGTAGCTAGCACTGCACTAAACCTGTTCTTAATTCAAAGCGCATTGCCCCCTACCCGGGGAGTCTTCTTCACAGGTCGGCTGCTAAATATCTAAGCGCATTGCCTAACCTGCGTGTCTTGAATCAAGCATTGCCCTACCCGGGATCCTCTTCCGCGAGAGTCCGGCTGCTATACTAGCATCATGCCTTACTGTTCTTATCAAGCATTGCCCTACTCGTGCGGGAGCCGGGGAATCTCTCAACAGCGTTGCGTGGCTGTCTATTAAACTAGCGGCATGCCTTTACTTGTTCTTTAATACAAGCAATTGCCCCCTAGAACGCGGGGAATCTCTTTCGCAGGTCGGACGTGCTATAGCTTAGCTGCATGCCGTACTGTTCTCAGAGCAACGGCATTGCCGCTAACTCCGGGGATCTCTTCGCCAGGTCGGGATCTGCTATATATCTAGCAACATAGCCGTACGTTCTAATCAAGCATTGCGCTCTTATCCCGGGGGATCTCTTCACAGGTCGGCTGCTATATATACTAGCGCGATGCTATCATGTTCTTAATCAAGCCGTTGCTCTAACCCGGTGGATCTCCTTCGCAGGTCGGCTAAGCTAATACTAAGCACGTGGCGCTACTGTTCTATAATCAAGCGTGTGCCCCCTACCCGGGATCTCTTCGCAGTGGTCGGGCTCCTAATACTAGCGCGTTGCCATGACGTGTCTCTTAATCAAGCGTTCGCCCTACCGCGGGGAATCCTCCCCCTTTCACAGGTCGGGGCTGGCTATACAGTAGGCCGCATGCCTTACTGTTCTAATCAAGCGTTTGCCCTACCCGGGATCTGCTTCTCAGGTCGGCGGCTGCTATAGGCTAGCGCATGACTACTCTGTTCTAGATCAAGGCGTTGGCCCTACCGCGGGGATCTCTCTCGCAGGTCGGGCTGCTATACTAAGCACATGCCTACCGTTCTTAATCAACGCGTTGCCCACGCCGGGGAATCTATTCAACAGTTCGGGCTGCTATAGCTAGCGCATGCTACTGTTCCTTAATCAAGTCGTTGGCCCTACCCGGGGATCTCCCTTTCACAGGGTCGGGCCTGCTAACACTAGCGCATGCCTACTGTGTCTTACAAGCATTGCCCTACCAGGCCCGTGCGGCAATGCTCTTCGGCAAGGTCGAGGCGTGCTATACTAGCGGCATGGCCTACTCGTTTTAAATGCAAGCATTGCCCCTACCACGGGGATCTGCTCGCAGGTCGCGCTGCCTAATACTAGCCCATGCCCCTACTGTCTTGAAACAAAGGCAATTGCCCTACCCGGGGCATCTCTGCAAGCCAGTCGGAACTGCTAGTAAACTAGCGCGTGCCTCGAGCTACTGTTTTCTTATCAAGCGTTGGCCCTAACTCCGGGGATGCTTTTGCAGGTCGGCTGCTATACTAGCGGCATGCCTATCTGTTCTTAATCCAAGCGTGCGCTAGAACCCCGGGATGCTCTTCACCAGGTCCGGACTGCTACTCTAGCTGCGTGCGCCTGACTGTTCTTAATCAGGCGTTGTCCCTAAGCCGGATTCTTCGTGCAGTCGGGCTGCTAATACTAGCACAACTGCCTACTGGGGGTACACTCGATTCACCCAAATCCAGCCGCCCAATATCCACCAAATCCCAACTCAAATCCACAGCCGGCCAATCCACCAAATCCACAAATCCACACACAACATCCCCAAATTCCACCCCAAATCCACAGCCACCCACCCCAAATCACAAAGTCCACCCCCAAATCCCCACTGAAATTTTTTACTCGACAACGCCATTCAAATTTAACGCAAAGATGGCAATATCCACGAAATTCACCCAGCTGGGCCAAAATCCAAACGAAATCGTCAAAACTTCCAAAAAATCCCACCCTAACCACAACGCCGAGAAATTCACATAATCCAATTCAGAAATTACGCATTAATACAAAAAACCTCTGAGCTTACTAAACATTTACGTTGAATTTCATCCAATGTACTATTAAATGTACATGTCGATTAGCGCGAGTGAAATTTCAGTGGATTTGGGGTGGATTGTGGATTTGTGATTTGGGGGTGGATTTGTGATTTGGGTGGATTTGGTGACTTTGGGTGGAATCGTGGTAACCGTGCCTACTGGGTCTTGAAATCAAGCGTGCCCCTACCCGGATGCATCTCGCACAGTTCGGGAGCGCTGCTATACTAAGCGCCATGCCTAAACTGTTCTTAATCAAGCGTTGCCCTTAGCCGGGGATCTCTCACAGGTCGGGCTGGGCGATAAGCTAGCCATGCTTACTGTTCTTAATCAAGCATTCGACTCTAACTCGGGAATCTCCTTCGCAGGTCGTGGCCTGCTATACTAGCGCATGCTCTACTGCTTCTTATCATAGCATTGCCCTATCACGGGGATCTCTTCGCAGGTCGGGCTGGCCTATGACTTAGCCAACAGTGCCTACTGTTACCTTAATGCAAGCATTGCCGCTAGCCGGAAATCGTCTTCAGCAGGTCGGCTGGCTATAACTACGCATGCCTACTGGTTGGCATTAATCCAAGCGTTGCCTCATACCGGATCTCTTTCCCGCGAGGTTCGGGGGCTGCTATAGTCTCAGCAACGTGCCTACCGTGTCTCTTGAATCAAGCGTTGCCCTAACCCGTGAATTGAGATGGTTCTTCTCTTAGCAGGTCGGGCTGCTATACTAGCGCGTGCCTACTGTTCTTAATCAAGCGTTGGCCCTAACCGGGGATTCTCTTCACAGGTCGGGCTGCCTATCACTAGCGGCGTGACTACTGATTCTTAATCAAGGTCGTTGCCTCTAACCGCGGGATGCCTTCGCAGGTCGGGCTGGCTATATCTAGCGGCAATGCCTAACTGTTGCTTAATCAAGGTCCCTACCCGGATCTCTTCTCAGAGGTCGGCCTGCTAATAGCACGCATGCGCACTGTTCGTAATCCCAGCGTTGCCCCCTACCGGGAGTCTCTCGCAAGTCGGCTGCTATACTAGACCCATGGCCTACGTTCTTCAATCAGCGTCATGCCGCTAGCCCGGGATCTCTTCACGGTGATGGTAGCTCGGCAATTCCGGCGCAAGCGTCCGTACCGCGACGTGGGCGCGCGATGTTCAAGGCCGGGGTGGATTGCTTAAAAAAATACTAAACGCGCAATGCCTACTTGGTTCTTCAATTCAAGCAGTGTGCTCGCTAGCCCCCGGGACTCTCTTCAGCAGGTCGGGCCTGGGCTATAGCCTAGGCGCATGCCCCTACCTGTTCTTCAATACAAGCATTGCCTAAGCCCTGCGGGCGGGGGATCTTTCCGCAGGTTGGGCTGCCTATACTAGCGCATGCTACTGTCCTTAGTCACGCATTGCCGGTAGGCCCGGGATCTCTTCCGCAGGTCGGAGGCTGGCATAACTTTAAGCACATCGGCCTACTTTCTTAAATCCAAAAGCCATGCCACTACCCGCGGTGGATCTCTTCAGCAGGATCGAGCTGCTATAACCTAGCGCGGTGCCTAAGCCTGCGTTCTAATGTCAGCGTTTGGCCCTAGACCCCGGGATTCTTCGCCAGAGTCGGGCTGCACTATGCCTAGCGCAATGGCTACTGTTCTTATCCAAGCGTTGGCCTGACCGCCGGGGAATCGATCTCCAGCAGGAGCGTCGGACCCTGCTAATCCTAGCGCCGGTGCCTTACTGTTTCTTCAATCAAGCCGTTGGCCTAGGCCCGGATCTCTTCGGCAAGGTTCGTGGGCTGCGTAATACCTGTAGCGCAGATCCCCTAAACTCGTTCTTAATCAAGGCGTTCCCTATGCGCGGGATCTTCTTCGCCCAGGGTTCGGGCTGCTAATAGCTAGCCCGCATGCTAACCCTGTTCTTAAAATCAAGGTGTTGCCTACCGCGGGATCTCTTCGGCGCAGCGTCGGGCTGCTATACTAGCGCGTGCCTACTGTTCTTAATCAAGCGTTGCCCTACCCGGGGATCTCTTCGCAGGTCGGGCTGCTCGGCATCCAGATGCTGTGGACGCGCGATGCGGAGGAGGCGCTGACGGCGGCTCGCAACGACAAGCGCATCATGGCGGCGATGAATCAGCGATTCCTCGACCTGCTCAACACTCTCATCGATCAGACGACGCACGACCTCACCAAGTTCGAGCGCGTCAAGTTCGAGACGCTCGTCACGATTCACGTGCACCAGCGAGACATCTTCGACGATCTGGTAAGTTGCCGCCACGATCGACGCCGGGGGTTTAGACGATACTCGCGAACAAAATGTTTTGATGGGCAGAATTTTTATCGTGAGTTATTTTCGTTTAGGCGGGCGGGGTTAGACGCCGGGTTTAGACGACACTCGCGACAAAATGTTAAGATTGGCGGAATTTTTTATTGTGAGCCATTCTCGTTTAGGTGGGTGAGTGATTGTGAAGGCATGTAGGTGCACCAGGAGGAACTCTGAAGCTCTGAACTCTGAGAACATCTGTGAACAGATGCGGAGGACTTTAATAGAGTTCTGCTTTTCTAGGTGAAAATGCATATCCGTAGTCCGGGTGACTTTGAATGGTTGAAGCAGTCAAGGTTCTACTTCAAGGACGACATTGATGAATGTGTCATCTCCATCACAGATGTAGATTTTAGCTACCAGAACGAATTTCTCGGCTGCACTGACCGCCTTGTCATTACCCCACTAACGGACAGGTAATTATAGTTCACACCTGCTATGCAAAATATGTAAATGAGAATTTTTTAGGATCGGTAGAGAATGTGAGTATATAAAGTTGCCATGGATTATGCAGTAATAACTAGCGTCAGCTTTGAAATGTGACCGTATTAGTGGGCATCATCATAGTTGTTATGTCGCCAACTGCGCCTTCATTAGCTATAGTTGCATGGCTTTCTCCACTTGCTGACTATACTGGTTGTTGTATCTCATAGGTGTTACATCACACTTGCCCAAGCGCTCGGCATGTCGATGGGTGGTGCACCAGCTGGGCCGGCAGGAACAGGGAAGACAGAAACTACAAAGGACATGGGGAAAGCTCTCGGGAAATACGTCGTCGTATTCAACTGCTCAGATCAGATGGACTTCAGAGGATTGGGCAGGATCTTCAAAGGTTCCATTGATTATTTTGCAGTTAATTAGCAATTATGAATTTATTAAACTTCATCTCGTATTTCTTGACTCACGTTCCACTTATTACTAATTGCTGGTAAAAGTTCAAATCGTTACTAAGGCTGAAGGCGTCGTTGCTGTATAGGTACCCAAGGTAATGCTAGTCTAGGGAGTCGCCTACGCCTACTCCCTAACCCTATAACCCTAACCATATCAGATAGTTACCTCGGGTACATATATGTAGTACGTACCCTATACGACAACGACCTTTCGTGCGTTACTAAGCAACGTAGCTTACTACTTACCAAGCTACTACTACTAAATCGTTCAAATAGATCACATTAAACTAACAGATCTATAGTCGTGCTTGGTTAACTGCTACAACCTTTACTGTAAATCCTTCACCTTTGACCACGTAACCTTACCAGGTACTTAAACAGAGTAAGTATCTGTAACATGTTCATCTTGCGTTTGCACTATACGGAGCACGGAGCGGTTTGCACTATACTAGACGGACAGAGCAATGGTCTCAGGATTAACCACTGTAATCTTTTCAGTAACTAGAGTAATGTAAACAAGATATTCCACCATTCATTTTCAGGCTTGGCACAGTCTGGCTCCTGGGGCTGCTTTGACGAGTTCAACCGTATAGAGCTGCCTGTGCTGTCTGTGGCTGCACAACAGGTGTACATCACGCTCACCGCCAAGAAGGAGAGGCGCAAAAGCTTCCTCTTCTCCGATGGCGACACCGTCACTCTCAACCCCGAATTCGGTTTCTTTTTGACCATGGTGAGAACGCTGGCTACGCTATTACCGACTGTTTTATTGTGAAGAGAAAATCGTTATACTCTGTTGCAGTGTGTTCTTTATAGCTTATTTTATATATGTATATATATATATATATATATATATATTAGCTTCTGGCGTTCATGGTGGTTGTATGAGATTATTTACTGTGACAGAATCCAGGTTATGCCGGTCGGCAGGAACTACCGGAAAATCTGAAAGTGCAGTTCCGAACCGTGGCTATGATGGTGCCAGACAGACAGGTAAACTCATTTTTATTTGAATTTATTACAATTTACCGGATAATTATCTCTTTTTTTTATTTTGCTGTTTTTATATTCTCTTGCTGGATAATTGATTGAGCTTATTTTTGCACAATTTAATTAAGCATTCAATAAAAAAATTTGTTGATCCATACAGATTATTATGCGAGTGAAGCTGGCCAGCTGTGGTTTCCAGGAGAATGTCATTCTGGCACAGAAGTTCTACACACTGTACAAACTATGTGAAGAACAACTAACAAAGCAGGTGTGTTGAATAACTTAGAAAATGTCAAAATATAATGTCTGTAGCCAGAAATCTTCTGCAAACATTGTGCACACAAGCATTGTTCACTACCATGAACCCATGTGTGTATATATATATATACATGTGAACTATTATATGTAAATATTGTGTATGTACACATAGGTGCATTACGACTTTGGTTTGAGGAACATCCTGTCTGTACTGCGTACTCTGGGATCGAACAAGAGAGCGAGACCTGAGGACAGTGAATCTACCATCGTCATGAGAGTGCTACGTGACATGAATCTCTCAAAACTGGTGACGTGTTTTTGGCATCGTATATCAATTTTAATTTATTATATTATTAGGCAATATTTTCAGGAATCTCTCATTAACGTAATTATTAAATGAATTGCCAGTTTTCAGTGATATACGCATCTATATTAAGATAAATTATGGTATAGTGTGACAGAGTTTCTGAATTATTCACAAAGTTGTGGTGTATGCATTGGTTGTATGGTGGCCCCACCTTAATCAGGACATGTCAAGAACCATAAAAATATCCTGATTAAGCAGTAGTTCCGATTCAGCAGTGAGTGCATACATAACAGAGTGTTTTTTAAATGACATGTGCCCGCTTATCCGAGGCCTGATAAAGTGGGGACCATTGTACTGCATGGTTATCTCTCGTTTCCATATATAGCTCACTTTCACAATGATTTGTCAATTTTCAGTCAATTTGCTTTTTGTCACGGAACTTTATGTGTAAGTGAGTTTTTTAAGGCAATGAACTTATAACCGATGTCTTGTATTACGTTTAGGTGGATGAGGATGAGCCGTTGTTCCTCAGCTTGATCAGTGATCTGTTTCCTGGCATCCAGCTGGATAGTGCTAGCTATGATGACCTTCAGGTGGCAATACAACATCAGGTCGATGAGATGGGTCTGGTCAACCATCCGTCATGGAATCTAAAAGTCGTTCAGGTATGTTGTGCTGTCTCATACTCATACCTCATATGGAGACGTGTCATACACCGGGTAGGAATGCAAACATCTTGGATGCTTGTGTTGTTGAAGAGCATTTGCATGCTTGTGTTGTTAACCAGCATTTACATATATGCTTGTGTTGTTAAACAGCATGTGCTCTTACGCGTTGTGGATGATTTATATACTGCGTCATCTGCTCGTTCTGTGAACGTCGGGTGTAACGGCAAGATTTTTAAAAATTAGTTGTTTTCCCGGTGACCCACAGCTGTACGAGACACAGTGTGTGCGTCACGGCATCATGGCGCTGGGTCCTAGCGGAGCAGGCAAATCCTGCTGCATTCAGACGCTCATGCGATCCATGACGGAGTGCGGCAGCAGTCACAGGGAGATGAGAATGAACCCCAAGGCCATCACGGCACCGCAGATGTTTGGAAGACTCGACGTGGCCACCAATGACTGGACGGACGGCATCTTTTCTACGCTGTGGAGAAAAACCTTGAAGACGAAAAAAAGTATGTCACAGATGGGAAAAACCCATCTGGAATTTCTTGATAAATGGATTGACAGATGAACATTGAATGAATTGTTAAATGATGAATAACATTTCTTACCATATGAAATGTGAAAAATATGACAGTAACATTGGTCCAAAACGTTCCAAATGCTAACCATTACAGTACAGAAACTTCTTATTTAGTATCATTTTACATATTCAATTGATCCCAATTATATTGTTTTTGTTGTTATTAAATTTTTTTAAACTCATCTCAGAGTTCACAGTCCTGAGTGCTAACCATACAATGGAACCTTGTTTATGATTGCATTTGCTATCATTTAAATGACCCAAAAAACTATTTTAACAAATTTTAGTGTTTCTATAGGCTATTAAAAAACAATGTAGTTTCGAATTCAACCAATATTTAAACTTGCATTTCGGTATTCAGTGTTCTGAGTGCTAATCAAGACACGATGTAACTGATTTCAATATCCTTCATTAGCACTCAAGTAATCTCATTGATATCTGTGTATATTTTAAACAGCTACTCAATTTTACCGTGATTTAGTGTCGCTGAGACGGTATACCCCCCAGGGTACGGTCCGGTATACGGGAACGTACCCTGGTACCAGGGCATATAAATCAACGTGATTTATATGCTCTGCTGGTATTATCTAATATGCCGGACCGTACCTTGCCTACTCCACTAACTAGTCTAGGGAGTCGCCTACGCCTACTCCCTAACCCTAACCATATCAGATAGTTACCAGGGCACGTTCCGGCAGTACCCTGGGGGACATAGACCCTATGAGCTTTAGTGTCCCTGTTCAAAATTTAGGTTCCACCGAGATTTGAACTCGGATCGCAGGATTCAGAGTCCTGAGTGCTAACCATTACACCATGGAACCTTATAGTTGATTACATTTGTAATTATTTAAAAATGACCCAAGTGTCTATTTTAACACATTTTTATTTTTAGTTTTGTTATTCAAAATTGAGGTTCCACCGAGATTTGAACTCGGATCGCAGGATTCAAAGTCCTGAGTGCTAACCATTACACCATGGAACCGTAATGAAATCCCTATGTACACCCTAAATAATCTCATTGATATCCGTTTTAATTTGTCACAAAACCTAATTGTAACCTATGTTATTGTTTTAATCTGTAGCAATAAAATGTTTAGGTTCCACCGAGATTTGAACTCTATTAACGGTGTACTAACTTTTACAGCATGGTTTAAACCATTGACCTTTATTCTAAGATTCTTTATAAACACATAAGTAATCTCATTGTATACTTCCACCTCAACCCAATTTGTTGCTATAAAAATTTAGGTTCCACCGAGATTTGAACTCGGATCGCAGGATTCAGAGTCCTGAGTGCTAACCATTACACCATGGAACCTTATAGTTGATTACTTTTGTAATTAGTTCATTTGAAATGACTGGTGTTAATTTTAACGTAATTTAGTGTCCCTGTTCAAAATTTAGGTTCCACCGAGATTTGAACTCGGATCGCAGGATTCAGAGTCCTGAGTGCTAACCATTACACCATGGAACCTTTTATTTAATATTATTGGAAATTATTTAAATGATCCAAATGTCTATTTTAACACATTTTAGTTTCGTTATTCAAAATTGAGTTTCCACTGAGATTTGAACTCGGATCGCAGGATTCAAAGTCCTGAGTCCATATTACACCATGGAACTCTGGTAAAGTCGTTTATATACACCCTAAATAATTTCATTGATATCTGTTTTAATTTGTAATAAAACTTGGTGTAGCAATTAAATGTTTAGGTTCCACCAAGATTTGAATGCTTGTAATGGTGTGCTAACCTTTACCATATGATTTAAGTCATAAAACCTGATTCTAAGATTTTTTATAAACACCCAAGTAATCTCATTATTGTATGGTTCTACTTCAACCCAATTTATTGCTATGAAAATGTGAGGTTCCACCGAGATTTGAACTCGGATCGAAGGATTCAGAGTCCTGAGTGCTAACCATTACACCATGGAACATTTTGTGTGATCTTATTTGTAATAACCTGCTAGCATATGGAACGTGGACGTTAAACGGATATGATGATGATGATGATGATGAATTGATGATGAATAACTGAATTGAATCATATATGTCTATTTTAATGTATTTTTTTGTCGTTATATAAAATTGAGGTTCCACCGAGATTTGAACTCGGATCGCAGGATTCAAAGTCCTGAGTGCTAACCATTACACCATGGAACCATTTTTGTTACATTGTTAATACGTGCAATTATTTTTACATATTGGCTGAACCCAAGACCAACTACACAGAACATATAATTAAGAATTTTGCCACCAATTGTGTTAAAATGTAAATAACACTGCTTTAAAGGGTTAGGGGTCACAGAGATCTGGGTATATTGACTGAATGGTATTGTTCCTTCACAGCGGACCATGTCTGGATTATACTGGATGGACCTGTTGATGCTATCTGGATTGAGAACCTCAACTCAGTGCTGGACGACAACAGGACGCTGACACTGGCTAATGGTGATCGTATTCCTATGTCACCCACCTGCAAGGTGCTGTTTGAGGTGCACAACATCGACAATGCCAGCCCAGCCACCGTGTCACGTAACGGCATGGTGTACATGAGCTCATCAGCGCTGGACTGGAAGCCCATACTTCAGGTTGTAATGTGGTTGGATACGGTGCGCGCACACCGACAACCAACTGTTCTATCGCATCGAGTAATTGAAGCGGGGATAAATGCAATCTACAGACAGTTAATATTGAGAACTACTCTTTCCATCTTCATAACAGTTGTTGTCTTCTCAAATTAACTAACGTGCCAGTAAATAAACATAAAATTATAATCATGTTTCTTTCAATGGTAGGATTTTTAATTAACGTGTGTTGATTTTTTAGGCCTGGTTGAACAAACGCGCAGCAGCTGAAGCAACGATTCTTAAGCAACTGTTTGATGAGCTATTCCAAGACATGTTCACTTATGTCAAACAAAGCCTCTTTGCTAAAATGGTTGTACTTGAATGCAATTATATCAGACAGGTAAATGTCACCAACGTTCTCAAATGATTATTACTAGCTACAACTTAAGTCTTCCCCCACCAGCTAATCCATTATTAGACCAGAAAAACTATTTCATTATAATCTAACATTTCACCAACATATGCGTTCGAAATTGCTTAAGGTTGCCGCACACCAACCGATTTTTCACGCGATTTGATCGGCCCGATAGAAATCAGCTGATATCGGGTAGGTGTGCGCGTTCATTTGTAGACGATTTTATTTTTATCGGGTGATCGTTCCGAATCAAACATGTTTGATTTTGAACCGATGACCCGATGAGCCGATGAGCCGATTTTACAAACGATGAAGCGATGAAGCGATGTAGGTGTGCGGCGGCCTTTACCATTTTGTTTTGTTTTTGGTTTCAGTGCATTGATCTGCTAACTGGTTTGATTCCAAGCAAAGAGGAGGTAGGTAATCTGTCGGCTAAACACTTGGAGAGGCTCTTCATCTTTGCTATCATGTGGAGCTTGGGGGCGCTACTGGAGCTGGAAGATCGATCGAAGATGGAGGAGTACATTCTGAGTCACCCAAGCAAACTCGCATATCCCGAAATCCCGGAGGGAAGCGGACAGACGATATTCGAGTTTGTCGTCGCCGCAGACGGTAAGAACGTGAATAGTGACGTGTAGACGAGCGAGATACCGCTGCGTTTGTACCCAACGTGCTCGAACAAAAACCGCCTCACTGTAAGCGCAGAGTGTAATCGCAACTGTTTCAATCGTCTTCCTACATTGCCCTGCAGGCGATTGGGAGCACTGGTCAAACAGAGTGCAGGAGTATAAGTACTCATCCGAGGTGGTTCCAGAGTACTCGAGCATCCTTGTGCCTAACGTCGACAATGTGCGCTCCAACTTCCTCATAGACACCATCGCCAAGCAGCACAAGGTTAATAACAGCTTTAATTACAATTCAAAACGCTGCTTTAATGCACGTTAATTTAAGGTAAAACGCAACTTATCTGTACATATTATTTAAAGCATATTAAGCTTCTTCTTATACACGACGCCATGTGGGAAATGTTTCTGTAACGTGCTCTGTTTTCCTTTAGGCTGTGTTACTCATAGGCGAGCAAGGAACAGCTAAAACAGTGATGGTTAAGGCATACATGGCCGGATATGATCCAGACCAGCATATGGGCAAGAGCTTTAACTTCTCGTCAGCCTCCACTCCAGCACTCTTCCAGGTAATGACACCATATATCGATATATTCTACAGATTATGCACAGATGTTGCTCATTTTCATGTTAAAGTGATAGTTCATAATGATAGCAGCACCAGGTGTCCCCACTAAAACTAATATTGCCTATAGTTATTCATGAATCTGTTCTATATGCATAGCGCACTATTGAGAGTTACGTTGACAAGCGGATGGGAAACACGTACGGTCCACCAGCGGGCAGGAAGATGACCGTATTTGTTGATGATATCAACATGCCAATCATCAACGAGTGGGGAGATCAGGTGCGTTAGAATCAATATATTGGAAACTAGAATAGACGAGGGTGTCAAAGATAAAGTTGCTGGATTCTGGATTAGTAATTGCAGTTATTATCTAACATTGTATGACAGTTTTCAAGTGTGATACCCTGGAAATGTCTTTTATTAACTATATTTGTGTAGGCGTTTACGTGTTGTGTTTGTTTTGTATATTTTTACATCGCCTAGATAAGATTTCAATGAAACGAACATTCCTTATTTCCTTATCAGAGCATGCTTAATGAACAAGATTGACAGAAATGTTCTTTTCAAACAGATCACCAACGAGATTGTGAGGCAAGGCATGGAAATGAAGGGCTTCTACTCGCTAGACAAGCCTGGTGACTTCACGAACATCGCTGACATGCAGTTCATCGCTGCCATGATCCACCCTGGTGGCGGTCGCAACGACATTCCGGAGCGCCTCAAGAGACAGTTTACCATTTTCAATTGCACACTGCCGTCGAACGCCTCAATCGATAAAATCTTCGGTAACCTTTTGAGCTTTTCCCATGTAAATTTAGAGGTTGATGATCTCAGTGTTGTTAATAGTGATACTCGCATAACTCGGGCTTACAAGCATTCGCTGGCATTGCAAATGTGTTGGCTAACTCACTAGGACGGCGTTTTGAACAACGTCGGCTTTGTTCTTGTCATCAAAGATGACAAAAACTAGTCGTGCACTCGGCTGCTCAGTCATGATGACGGTCTGTCTCTAATTGTCTCTGCAGGTGTTATTGGCTGTGGATACTTCTGCAGCACCCGTTTCAATGAAAGCATTGTGGAGCTCTGCAAGGATCTTGTGCCTGCTACTAGAACGTTGTGGCAACAGACAAAGGTGAGTAGCCTGTAGGAAAGGTATTTTATGGCAAAGTGCCTATATGTATTAGCAAAATGAAATGTCAGTGCTTTGATAGGTCAATGGTTACCCAGCTATGACAGTATGAGTTCAACGCAATATGTAATCAGGCATGTTCTATAAATGTAAATAACAAATAATTTTTATTAAAAAGATTATTATTGAAAATCATTTTATTTGTGATTTTTTTCTTCCTTTTTTTAATTCTCCAATCTTGGTATTATTTGCATGTTATTGTAAAATGTTGAATTGAAGTCATGATAAATTTCCCATTTCTTTTTGCCAGGTGAAAATGTTGCCCACACCAGCCAAGTTCCACTACATCTTCAATCTGCGAGATCTGTCTCGCATTTGGCAGGGCATGCTCACTATCAAAGGATCCGAGTGTACAACGAAAGAGATGCTGCTGTCTCTCTGGCAGCACGAATGCACGCGTGTTATTGCAGACAGGTATATGAGTTCCTAGTGTAATGACCCCTGCCATTCAGCTGCCATTCTGGAATTGGAAATTATTTAATCAACATTTCAATCGTGATCATCATGATTACCGTTTCTAAAGGGGATTTAAATTCATCTAAGAGCTGCTCTATTTTCTATAGATTCACGAACGAAGACGATAACAAGTGGTTCCAAGAGGTGATCCGGCGGGTAGTGAAGACAAATGTAGGTGAAGAGTTGGTGTCACAGATCGTGAAGGAACCCTTCTTCGTCGACTTCCTCAGAGATGCGCCAGAGGTTACGGGAGAAGAGCCAGAAGATGCTGACCTTGAGGCACCAAAGATATATGAAATCGTACGACACGCGGTGGTTATGCGCACGCTCAACTCTTTTATATATATTGTGGTTTCTTGTACAGTTTTGTATAGAAATAAGATGTGTGTGACCTGTGAATAGGGTTAAACATCTATCTTTATTTTCTCGTGCCCGCACATCATCTCTCTGCAGTATCGTACTTGTCGCATCATGTTGAACTCTCTCTCCAGATTCCAGACTACAATTTCTTGAAAGAGAAACTCCAGATGTACATGCAGATGTACAACGATACTGTGCGTGGCAATGCTATGGACTTGGTATTCTTCCATGATGCCATGAATCATCTAATGAAGGTAGATATGCAGACATACTTCAGCACATCTGGTGTATTTCAGCAATGCGCAGTCATTTGAGTCACACGTCTGCTTATTGACAACCACATATGTGTTCACGCAAAAATTCCAAACTCTAACAATGCCGCGTGCAGATTCACTTTGTAGAAGATTCTGTACGGATAAGATGTTATAAATGTGGTACGTTACAATTTCGATTACGATGTGCAGCATGTTGTTTGTGTATGGATAGATATCAAGGGTGCTGAGGACAGCAAGAGGCAATTCTCTGCTAGTAGGCGTCGGAGGTTCTGGCAAGCAATCACTCACACGGCTTGCCTCCTACATTGCCGGATACAAGATCTTCCAGATAACACTAACAAGGTACTTGTGTTGTAGTGACGAGGTGCGTTAGCGACTAATTCCTTCTCATGCATGGAGAATAAGTGGCTCACTGTCTGTGTATGTTCATATTCCACTTGTTCTTATGCGCTCTCACTCAATCCTATCCTAAATCGTTATCATTATTTGTTCGTCACTAG